AAAATATATGTTGAAAGTCAGTGTTTATGTGAGGATTTCAGTTGTGCTGACATAATCAAAATTTGTATGGTTAAATTGCATAGCAGTTTAGCAGTTTGAAGCCCTGAATGTGTGGTATATATAAAAAAATACTGACATTATTATAGCTTTATACTGTTGGTGTTTGGACAGTTGCAAACTAGCTGCGTCTTGGTCAGAAACAAATAACCCAGAAATTGAGGCATGATTTTGTGGCGTGGAGGAAAAAAATCAAAGCAATCTTAATGCTGTGTTAAATGTATTATTGCTTTATTTATTATAACTTTGAAATTTGTTCAGAGTACCCGTTCTTCACTCTCAAAAGTACATATGTTTGCTTTCAGGTATGGACGTGTAGAAATTCTTTCTGGATTTATTAATGGCCTCTTTCTGATGGTAATTGCTTTCTTTGTCTTCATGGAATCGGTGGCCAGACTGGTGGATCCTCCGGACATAGATACAAATATGCTAACTGTAAGTTTTGTCATTCTGTTTGAATGTTGTTTGGCAGTTAATGGTTCATTTATGTTCGTCTTAATCTAAAAAAAAAAAAAAAGTTAAGGAGACTAGAGTTGCATATTCAAGAGATCTAAACTGTGCCTTGACTTTTTAACATATTCTAATTTTAATAGCCAAACTACATCTAGTTTTAAAATATGAAAATATGTAGGGGTGAATATAATTTAATTACAACAGTTAAACTGAATTTTTTCTAAGATGTTACAGCTCTAATGTTTTCAGGTGGTGGTCTTTCTACAATAAGAGATACTAAGGAAATAATCTGTACAAGACTAAATTTGGTTCTGCTGTTACGTATATCAGTGTGAAGTATTACAGAAAAGATTTTGCATTAGTCTCTGAGAAACCTCAAAAATCAGCCAGAATTCATAACATTATGCTGAGTGTGTTACTATGGCATAAACAGTCATGAAGCTGTGCATAGCTAATCTTAACTACACCTGTGTCTCTACCTTCCACAACCTCTTCAGGGGCTCTCCACTTAAATTTTCAAGCTTCCATCCCTTTCTTTCAACTGCAATAGTTCATGTTCTTCAAACTGATATTTTTTAATTATGGAATTCTGCAAATCCAAGCCTTCATTTATCACATTTCCAGCTTCACTTGGTCTCTCTCCCTCTCTCCCTCTCTCCCTCTCTCCCTCTCTCCCTCTCTCACACACACACACACACACACGAATTTGTGCTCTGCTGCTCTCTTCAGGAACAAAGAGATTTTTATGCAGGCACTACTGAAAATGTGCATTGCTGGAATCAAGGCCTGATTTTTTTTTTCCCTTTGTAGTCTCCAATATTTATTCCATTTTCACTACTGATTTTGTTTCTGGGGGGTGGGAGGGATTACCCCCTCTACATGAGCACAGTCTGCATAGCCAAGGAAAGGTCTAATAACCCCCGAGGAGGACTTGCTTAACTCCTTTATTAGCTGGAATTACTCTTATGCTTTGCTAGTTTTTCAAGAGAAGAATAAAAAAATAGGAAGACAGATGAAAAGCACAACTCAACCCATAAAGCGGTAGTTGCTATCTTCAGTTAGGTACAATTTTAAATGAGTGTGCATGTCCTAGATACAATGTACAATTTTTTTTTTGCCAATGAAAGCAAAGCAAAGCTTGTATTAAACCACTTTATCTCTTTTTCAAAGTAAATAAAATCAATCACCCCGACTTAAAACTAAATTTGCTGTCTTGTCCTGATTTGTGGAGACTAGGTTTTGCATTTTGGTGGTGGTTATTGGGTGGGTTTTTTGGGAAAGCTGGGGAGAATTGGATTTTTTTGAGAGGGGAAGAAAATTCCTTTGAAACCAGCTTGTATACTGAAAGGAATATGATGAAGAATCCACATGAGAATAATCCTTCTGCTGATGTTAATGCTTCCACAGTTTTCTTTTATTAGGTGTACAGTGTTTCTGATTACCATGTTCTAGAAAATAAACTTGAACACCTGGAAAGATGCAGTGATGTTAAAGGCTTTTCTTCCTCCCTCTCACAGCCCGTCTCTGTTGGAGGGCTGATCGTAAACCTCGTTGGTATCTGTGCCTTTAGCCACGCGCACTCCCACGGGGCTTCTCGCGGAGGTTGTCACTCACACGATCACAGCCATTCGCACCACGGGCACAGCCACAGCCATGGGCACGGCCATTCCCACAGTGACCATGGGCACAGCCATGGACATTCCCACGGGTCTTCGGGAGGAGGCATGAACACCAACATGAGAGGCAAGTACAGATTGTTGAATCGTAAATGATGCGTGTGATTTCCAGCAGACTTGGAAAGTTTCCAGAATCAGGTCCCATACTATGCATTATTCTTAAAATCTCCAGAAGTGATCTGACACCGTTGAATGTAGTATACGTGAATTTCTCAAACTGTTTCTTCATTAATGAGTTTAATTTGAAGAAACATAACTTCAAATGCTTCTTTGCGTGGCTTTGTTAAATATGGGTAATACCTAAGGACCAATAAAAAGCCTTAATCTACAGTCTTCATTAATATTAATATTAATAAACAGTCACTGTAAACCTTATTGAAAGAGCTTAAAGTCCGTGTTTCTAAGTTCCATCTGGAACTGAAAGCACAAGATCTCTATCTATAAAGATAGTACCATGCTACCAGGTATCCTGTGACAGCAGGTTGTAAAAACACTGGGGGAGGGGATAAGAAGCAGAAGAACAAAGGCAGACCAGCAATCTGTAATATGCTTCTATTTGTGATTCAGAAGATACAGTGGTAAAGATGAAACTTTCTGTTTGAAATCTAAAATCAGAATTTAACTGGTAAGGGTAATACATATAAAACTTCAGCAGAGCTACTTCTGAGAATTTTTTCCCTAGTAGTTAGAAGGTAGTTATTTACCAACTGCCTGGCTTATAAAAAAATCTATAAAGGAATGAGTTTTTTGTGTAAGCTTGTCAGAGCATAAGTTTTTTAGCTAACAGTCTCATATTTCATTGGTTATTTTACATCCTAATTCAGTTGGCTGTTCTGTTGTCTGTCATTTTTGTGAAGTCTGCCCATACTCTTAACTATATTCTTTCAAATCCTGACACTTAACTAGCACCAATCTTACAAGTAATTAGAGATTATTTTTCTGTGCCCTTTAAGTGTACACTGAGAATGCTACCCATCATTAAAGCAGTACAAAGGATTATTCCTAGCAGTAGCAGATAGACAATTTTCTTATAAAATAGGAGCAGAGTTGGCATACAAAAAACAAATGATACGTTACGATCTGTACACTTTAGCAGGCCAAGGCATTTACACTTATCTTTTTATCCTCTGTTAAGGATCAATGAGCCCCTCTAAACAGAGTTAAATGATCATGCTATATAGTACAAATCCCACTAACAACTGAAAGACTATTCATGTTTGGTTTAATCTGCGAATGCCTGCCTAGATCATTGCACTGTAGCCTAAAAATGTGGGGGGTTTTTTTGCATTGCTTTGTAATTAAACATTAGAAACGCTAAGTGTTTTGTTTAATTTTGCACCCAGTTAGGCAGATAGTTGCCTCTGTTTAGCTTGAGGGGCATTTATTATATTTAACAAATCCTACTGTGTTTGCGTTATTGAATATATACATACATTTTAAACAGAACTGTTCAACTTAATCACTCTGTTTATTTTGTTTTCAGGTGTGTTTCTGCATGTGTTAGCAGACACTCTTGGCAGCGTTGGTGTTATTGTATCTACGATATTTATTCAGCAATTTGGATGGCTCATAGCTGATCCACTCTGCTCTCTTTTTATTGCTACATTGATTTTTCTTAGTGTTATCCCACTATTGAAAGATGCCTGTCAAGTGCTTCTGTTGAGGATACCTCCAGAACAGGAGAAAGATCTGCACGCTGCTTTAGAAAAGGTCAGAACTATAATTCTAAATGTTTTCACATACAAACATACAAAGCTATAACTTATTTTAATAATTATTAAACTCAAGTATCTCATTCTGACAGCTTCCATTGTCTTGGACAACTTCATGTCTCAAATGGTTTTAAATCTATTTTGCAGAGATGTGACAGCATTAGGAGTTCTACTGATTAAAGTTGGTTTGCAACTAAAACCAGCTTGTACTGTTTTTTGCTTTTATGGGTAGCTCATGATTTCAGACACGTATGGTAACACTGTGGGAAAGGTACTTAGTACTAAGTAAGTAATGTAGCAATTCCCAAAAGCTTGCAGCCTTTTTAAACTTCATGTGTACAGTTCAGGCTACAGGATTGTATCTTAAGCCTCTAATTACAGGTTTTGTTACTTGTCCATATCATGAAGGGCGTGCTGGTTCACAGTAGGTGAGACAGCAAAAGTAAAGCTGGTTTTTCTAAATACTGTTTCATTCTAGTCCATTCTTTTCCTGTCTGCTGCAGTACGGTATCTGCTTTGAGGCTGTATTTAGTCTTCACTGTTGGCTCATTTGAAGTTCCTGCCCAGAATCGTAGTGCAGACCCCAGTGTGGAGAACTCCTCTCTGCCAGAGAACTAGTTACATGTTCTTTGAGGATGCCATCAGCTCGAAGCAGCCAGGAAGACCATCCTGATGGTGTCCCATCAGTTCGTAGAGGGGGAAATGTGTTCTTGTCTTCAAGAGAAAGAAAAGAATAAATGGAAGTTGGCTGGGGGAGACTTGTGTAATGAAAGGAAAGTGAAGTGCAGAGTGGGGTTTCACTTTTTGATGACGGAAGACAGAAAGCAATTCTGGGAGACTGAGGAAGAAGAAAGTACTTTTTGAAAACAATCAAAGAGCAATTCATTAAAAGATAATAGGAAAAGCATTTTAAAAAATATGTCACAGTAAAACAATATGCTTGCTGTAGGTTGACCCCAGCCAGCAGCCAGGCATCCACACAGCCACTTGCTCACTCCCCCCTTTACCACCACCACTGCCAGTGTGACAGGCGAGAGAACAGGAAGAGCAAAAGCAAGAAAACTCTGGGAGCAATATAAAGGCAGTTTAACAGGTGAAGGCAAGAGGGAAAAACCCAAAGAAACAAGCAATGCAATGCAAATCATTCACCACCTTCCACAAGCAGACCAATCAGCCAGTCTTCTCTGAGCAACAGCCACCTTGGAAGCCAAAAAACCCCTTCTTCCTCTACCCCAGCGTTTATTGCTGAGCATGGCGTTATGTGGCATGCAATGTCCCTCTGGCCAAGCTGTCCCAGCTGTGTCCCCTCTCCACTTCTTGCCCACCCCCAGCCCACTCACAGGGGCAGGGGCAGAGTGGGAAAAAGAGACAGCCTTGACAGTGCCCAAGTGCTGTTCAGCAACAGCCAAAACATTGGTGTGTTACCAAAACTGGTTTAGCCACAGGTTCAAAACACAGCACATTACCCGCTGCTGTGAAAAAAGTTCAATCCATCCCAGCCAGACCCAGTACAAAGATCAATTTCAAAAAAGTATAAATTATAGGAAGGTATTATGTCTCTGAATTAAGTCCAGCTATGACAACTAAATAGCTGCACATCCTGGGTAGTGAGGTAACACGTGCCCTAGAAACGGTTACATACCCAGTCAGCTTTCTAGTTGGTCTATCCATTGATGTTATTGTGATCTGTACACGAAATCATTTTTTTCTCATCCTATTTAGCATTGCCCTCTGCTGGGTTTTTCATTTAGTTTGATTCTAGCTTCTAGTCTTTGACAGTATTAGCAAGGTGACCGTTCAATACTACATATGTCTGTATATGGCTTAGCTGGAAAGCTGCTTTGCTATACAGCTTCGTTTCCCTGTGAAGTATTTGCCACCAATATCCATGTACATACACAAGTTTAAAATGTGTTCTTAAATAAATTGTTGCTAATGTAATTTCTGTACAGATTCAAAAAATAGAGGGAGTCATATCCTACAGAGATCCTCATTTTTGGTGTCACTCAGCAAGTGTTGTGGCAGGTACAATACATGTGCAAGTGGTATCGGATGTGATGGAACAGAGAATTGTACAGCAGGTAAGGTGCAAGGTTTTTAGACCCTAATATCTTATTTTCTTACTCTGTAGCCATTTGTCGGTCATAGATTGAAGTTTGAAGCTGCTGTTTGTGCTTATTTTTATAGCTATTAGTCAATGTCTCAGAGCTGGTGTCTAATGCTGTATGTCCCGTTGCCTGCTAGCTTGGAATTAGTTGCATAAATAGTTGTTGGCTAAAACATCTGCCAAAACAGAACAAAAAAAAAAAAAAGTCTGGCTTTTTTTCCTCATTGTTGAAAGTAGCACTACATCTGCTCTGAGAAAAGGAGGAAGAGGTGGATTTCATGCTGCAAAACAGGCAGTAAACAGTAGAGATATGTGGATGCTAATTGTGGCTTTATAACTGGCTTACTAATATCTGTCTGCCTTGTTTTTTTCTTTTCCTTGAAAGATACTTATTTTCTTATGCAAGACACTGAGAATTACCCCTTATGCAGAAGTTCCAAAGCCATAGGCTCTGAAGCTAGTCTTCACTTTCCAGAAAACTGAATGTATTATGATATTTTTTTAATCCACAGTATTCCAGCGCCAGAATATTGCAAGTTACTGTGAGATGCATATAAAGTGTAATACTAATGTTAACCATGCTGTTCTGTTCAGGTTACAGCGATTCTGAAAGATGCTGGCGTAAACAACCTAACTGTCCAAGTGGAGAAGGAAGCTTATTTTCAACACATGTCCGGACTCAGTACAGGATTTCAGGATGTCCTTGCAATGACTCAGCAACTGGAATCCATGAAATACTACAAAGATGGTACTTACATTATGTGATACAAAGTTGTGTTCGCCAAAGGAGGTGTAAATGGTGAAGCTGTAGGATTCCGTATTCGTATTACTTTTTGTCAGGGGATCTTGCACATACATGTAAAGAAACAAATGTACTATATATTGGAATTTTTTAAGCATACTATCTTTATTAAAATTGGACAAGATGCTTTTATAAAGGAAATAAGATGGACTTGAATATTTGCTGTATATGTGAAAATAATGGAAATCTTAAATACTGTACTTGGTGTTTATTAAACAGAAGTCTTGCAACTTGTGGATGAGCACGGATATATTCCGTACTTCTCTTAAGTATGGAACATTATGATTATAATTTCATGTTAGCAGTGGGAAATGGAAATAGTTTATAGTGGAATGCAAACATAATCAACTGAGAAATATTTTTCTTTCTTTCAAACATAGCTTGAAGACTCTTTGAATAAAAAAAAAATACATGTTTATTATGGGGAGTAAAAAACAACATGAAGTTATGGGTTTTGCCCACTTTGTTAGATAATAGAAATGCAGTTTTTATATTATGTCTCAGCATACAAATCTGATTTCTAAGCTTAATTTTAATGCATCAGAGCAAACAGATGTTACCATTTAAAATTTATATCTAATTATTTTTTTAAGGAGAGAAATCCACAGGTTAACAGTGAGAAGTTGGGAGGGGGAAAAATTGCAGACATTTTTCTGTTTCCTGGGAAGACTAGGAATCAAAAAACCACTCTGTAAAAATCACTTTTCTACTTTTTGTATGAATAACTGCAAATACAACAGTTTGAAGCTTAAAGAAATTCATCAGTGAGCCTCCTAGCACTCAGCTAAACTTCACCTCTTCAAGATATGTTATTCTGTCATTTACTTGATTTTTTTCGTAATACCATAACACCCTAGCAGGTGTGCTGTAGCCAGCTGTACCTTTGTGTATTGCCCAAGGAAGCAGCCCAGGTTTAGAACGCTAAACTGTGCCAGTAATCTGGGATTTTGCAAGTTGCTGAAACAAACTGTAAATTGAGACTTCTTGACTGGAAAGAGAAAAGGTATGTTTAAGAAAGAATGATGTGTGTTGGGGTCTTAGTACTGTGAAGAAAAAAAGTCTCTGTCTTTAGTGAAAACCTGTCAACAGGGTAATAACATGTCTTCAGAGGCAGTTATCCTTACATCTGTTTACAATCTTCCTGCGCCCCCTTTTCTTCTTGTCTTAAATATTTTCCTTGGAATTCAGCAAGTCAATTCAGTGGTTGGCAAGAATGAGTACATCTTTCATCATTCCGTGTATCACGGCAGTCTTACTTTGTCATATAGTTTTCTTGTTGGCATTTAGGATCAGGACCCGAGTATCATTATAAAGACCAGACGATGTTAGTGGAATTTGAGGACAGAGCGATGTAGGAGTTACATGATTAGATCAGGTTCACCAGCCAGGCAGTTCGAAATGTCCTTGAGCAATTCTGCGTGTCTTGTGATCGGACTGTTTATACAAACTGCATAGTTCCTTTTGTAACTGTTAAGCAAGTTTGCATTCCATTCTCTTCCTCTTGTGCTGTGTTAAAACACCGTCATCTGTAGTACAGGACCGACTTGAAAAACTGTGGTCCGAAAGTCTCTCAAAGTCGCATGGCTTTTACACAGAGTGGTGAAGGTTGACTACACAACTCACAGTCGCTCACTTCTCAGGATAGTACTGCAGGGAAGCGTTCTCAAAACTTGATCCTGTTTTCCTCCGGCTTACGCCTTTGGCAGTGGTTTTCTCACCTTGCCTCCTCCAGAAGGCTCAGGTCAGTTGACTGACAGTGCTACAATTCCGCTCGGCCTGTAGGCAGGGTGATCTTTGGCTTTTGAAAACCATTTTCCAACAAAAAGGTTCAGTTGGTATTTACATGTGCCACTTACATTGGAGGTGATGCTACTGGAGCTGACAGCCCTTCACCAAACCGAGCGTTGGCCCCGTCGTGATGGGTGGGGGGATAGATGGAAAGGGGGGGCGAGTCTTTCTTTTCAAATCAAGTTAGCTTAACATAATGGAAAAGTCTTCATGCTTGCCACAGCTTTCTCTGAGCAAATGCTGGTTTCCTACTTCAGCTGCTAGCGACAGGGCCCGAAACAAATTAAGATGGCTGGGACCAGGTTAGATGACCGTGGCAGCGAAGATCAGCTCGCACCCGGATACTTCACAGGCGAGTGCAAACCTGCACGCTGACAGGCATCGGCAGCTTTCTGTGCGTTACCCAACACACGCGGGGTGTTTTTCCTGGCTGCCCTGACAGGCTGACGATGGCAATAAACGTCGTCTAGCTGAAATGCATTTAACGAGAGCCCCGTATCTGGCAATAACCCTCCCAAGAAGGGCTCAGGCTTCGCCCCCCCCGTCCCAAGAGCTGTTGGAGCCGTGCTGTAAGGGCAGGTCTTCAAATGGCAGGTGTAGGCCAGCTGATTTATATTTTAATGAATGCTACAGCGGGGGAGCTTTTAGTGCGGTCATTTGATTTGTATGCAGTCAGTGGCAACAAAACACTTCCACAGATGAAACGAAGATGTAAGCGGCAGCTCTGTGTTGTACAGCTGGCAGCAAGCAACGTATGCGTATTTAATAACGAAACAATAAATGCGTTTTTCAATAATGTTTTGGTTTCATGTGGTGCATCTTGACTCTTCTGGTTGAAAAGTTAACAGGGGTGGAAACAGGAAAGTCAGTCAAGGAAGGGCCTGTGCAAACAGGCAGCTCGGGTTCCACCGCA